GTGTTAGGGAAGCAGAAGCCTAGGAGAGCCAGAATAAGGCCATTTTAAAATCAACTGCATCTTTTTTTTTTTTTCTGAGATGGAATTTCCCTCTTGTTACCCAGGCTGTAGTGCAGTGGCACAATCTCGGCTCACTGCAACCTCCACCTCCCGGGTTCAAGTGATTCTCCTGCCTTAGCCTCCTGGGTAGCTGGGATTACAGGCACCTGCCACCACACCCACACTACTTTTAGTAGAGATGGGGTTTCGCCATGTTGGCTAGGTTGGTCTCGAACTGCTGACCTCAGGTGATCCGCCTGCCTCGGCCTCCCAAAGTGCTGGGATTACAGGTGTGAGCCACCTCGCCTGGCCAATCAACTCCATCTTAAAACTAGCAAGATACACCAGGCGTGGTGGCTCACGCCTGTAATCCCAGCATGTTGGGAGGCTGAGCTGGGCAGATCACCCGAGGTCAGGACTTCGAGACCAGCCTGGTCAACATGGCAAAACCCTGTCTTTACTAAAAATACAAAAATTAGGCCGGGTGTAGTGGTGCGTACCTTTAATCCCAGCTACTTGGGAGGCTGAGGCAGGAGAATCACTTGAACCTTGGAGGTGGAGGTTGCAGTGAGCCAAGATTGCACCACTGCACTCCAGCCTGGGTGACAGGAGCGAAACTCCATTTCAAAAAAAATAAATAAATAAATTAGGTGTGGTGGCACATGCCTGTAATCCCAGCTACTTGGGAGACTGAGGCAGGAGAATTGCTTGAACCCAGAAGGCGGAGGTTGCAGTGAGCCAAGATCACGCCATTGCACTCCAGCCTGGGCAACAAGAGTGAGACTCTGGAAAAAAAAAAAAAAAAACAAAAAAAAAACAACTAGCAAGACACAGTCCTTGCTGGTCACAACCCACGGTCATAAGATGTTTATAGTTAAGGAAACAACCTAAAGATTACCTGCAAGGACAGGCTTCTACAAAAACAGAAAAGCCCAGATGTCCCAATACCCATCACAAGATTTGCTTTCAAGATAATTGTGCTTTTTTTCAAGATAGTTATGCTTTGATGTACTCACACCGTAGAATGTCAAGGATAGGTTTCTTTAAATCAATACCATAATAAATTTGGTCATGCTGTCTGCCCATCCGCATATAGCACAGCTTAGTTTAGTCTTTGTATACACAAGATCCCTATAGAAGAAAAACTTAAAGACTGTGCGTTCCTCCACTTGCCGTCTGAGGACACTCTATTCTATAATGAAGTAGCTTTCAATAAACTATCTCTTCTCACTGCACTCTGATTCTCCTTGAATTCTTCCTGGTGGGAGAGCCAAGAACCTTCTCTTGGGTCTGGACCAAGACTCCTTTTTCCAGTAACAATAGGGTAGGAGAGAGAGGAGAAGGAGGAGCATACATGCTTGTATTGGCAGGATAGTACATCATAGTATTCCTCTATTTGCTCAACTTTGGGATACAAAATGTTTAGAAAGACCAGTGAACAATTAAGAGCTATATAGAAGAAGGAAATTGTTGTGGAATATACAGTAGCATAGGGAAGATTAGGGCTGTGTAGTGTGTTTGGGGGTGGCATGAGGACAGAAAGAAGCATGGCAGGGAGGGGAGGGAGACAAGACTGAGGGTGAGGAAGCTTAAGATGGAAACTAGAACTGACAATTGATCACCACTCTATTACTATGAAAATTACCTATTGGGCCGGGTGCAGTGGCTAACGCCTGTAATCACAGCACTTTGGGAGGCCGAGGCCGGTGGATCACCTGAGGTCGGGAGTTTAAGACCAGCCTGGCCAACATGGAGTAACCCTGTCTCTACTAAAAATACAAAATCAGCCAGGTATGGTGGCGGGCGCCTGTGATCCCAGCTACTCGGGAGGCTGAAGCAGGAGAATTGCTTGAACCTGGGAGGCGGAGGTTGCCGTGAGCTGAGATCACGCCATTGCACTCCAGCCCAGTCAATAAGAGCGAAACTCCGTCTCAAAAGAAAAAAGGGGGTGGTGGGAATAGAACTGACAATTGATCACCACTCTATTACTATGAAAATTACCTATTAAAGATTCATTTAGCCCTCCAACTGGGCTCCCTGAGGAAGGGGAGCAGTAGGTGCTAATCCCAGCTAATTTAATCAGCAACTTAATTGCAATTTTAATGACTGCCACTGATTGAATACTTATATATGTGTCAGTCATAGCACTGAAGTGTTCTAGTATCTTTAAAAATGTAAACTTCAAAGCTGGGCTGGGCACAGTGGTGTGTACCTGTAGTTCCAGCTAGTTGGGAGACTAAGGCAGGAGGATGGCTTGAATCCAGGAGTTTGAATCTTGCCTTGGCAACATAGCAAGACCCTGTCTCTTAAAAAAAATAAATTTCAACAAATCTGTGAAGTAAAATTTTAAAATTGTGGTGAAATATGAATAACATCAAATTTATCATTTTAACCATTTAAAATTATACAGCTCTGTTCTGGTGTGGTGGCTCACTCATGTAATCCCAGCACTTTGGGAGGCCAAGGCAGGCAGATCACTTGAGGTCAGAAGTTCATGACCAGCCTGGCCAACATGGTGAAACCCTCTCTCTACTAAAAATACAAAAATTAGCAGATTGTGGTGGCGGGCGCCTGTAGTCCCAGCTGCTCAGGAGGCTGAGGCACGAGAATTGCTTGAACCCAGGAGGCAGAGGTTACATTGAGCTGAGATCACACCACTGCACTCCAGCCCAGGTGACAATGTAAGACTTCATCTCAAAAAAAAAAAAAAAAAAAAAAAAAGTTCTGTGGCATTAAATACAGTCAAATTATTGTACAACCATTAAGTGAAATTGATTTTTAAAATAGTTTTACTGATGATCAAACTTTGTATCAGATAGTTTAAGTAATTTGACTGTTAGTTGGTAGCAGAGTGAAGATTGAGCTCCATGTTTGTCTGACTTCAAATTCTGTGCTCATTTTCTATACCATGTAGTCCTGCAACCTTTTGAAGGGAGATGAGATTCAAACACGTGAAATAGGCTGGGCGTAGTGGCTCATGCCTGTCATCCCAGCAGTTTGGGAGGTCAAGGTGGGGGGAATCCCTTGAGGCCGGGAGTTTGAGACCAGCCTGGGCAACATAGCAAGACCTTGTCTCTTAAAAAAAAAATCAGCTGGGCCAGGCGCAGTGGCTCATGCCTGTAATCCCCGCACTTTGGGAGGCCGAGATGGGCGGATCACGAGGTCAGGAGATCGAGACCATCCTGGCAAACAAGGTGAAACCTCATCTCTACTAAAAATACAAAAAATGACTGGGCGTGGTGGCGGGCGCCTGTAGTCCCAGCTACTCGGGAGGCTGAGGCAGGAGAATGGCATGAAGCCGGGAGGCAGAGCTTGCAGTGAGCCAAGATTGCGCCACTGCACTCTGAATAGGTTCCTTTAAGAAGGTCCTGGATGGTCTACCTTTTCAGCATCCTCTTGGCTCATAAGAACCTTACCATGTCAAACACAGGAGTGGAAGCTACCCTATTGTTGTCTTTTCTCCTGGTCCTATTGTAGAGTGTGCCAGCCAGCTTCCCTAATTCATAATTCTGCAGGCTAGAAATGGGTGACCATCTTCATGAATGTGCACACATGCCAAATTCCTCAAGAGACATGTCTAGTTCATCTCAAAACTTTCACCATGATGATCATACAGGGATGGGCTCGTAAGTTTCCACAGTCAGCAAGACTCACTAGCTTGGGAGAAAGATCTGGCAGACACTCCTAGTCTTTTACAGTGGGGGTCCCTAACCCTGGGCCAAGGACCACTACTGGTCAGTGGCATGTTAGGAACCAGGCCGCCCAGCAAGAGGTGAGTGGCTGGGGAGCCAGCATTACGCCTGAGCTTCGCCCCCTGTCAGATCAGCTGCAACATTAGATTCTCATAGGAGGCAAACCCTATTGTGAACTGAGCATACCAGGGATTTAGGTTGCCTGCTTCTTATGAGAATCTAATGCCTGATGATCTGAGGTAGACCAGTTTCATCCCGAAACCATCCCCCCTCCTCACATCTGTGGAAAAACTGTCTTCCACCAAACTGGTCCCTGGTGCCAGAAATGTTGGGGTTTGCTGTTTTACGGTTCCCCCTCTTTGTAGTGAGGCCAGCAATCTATCCTCTCCTACGATTTCTTCTAAAGCCTCCCACCTCAGCCTCCCAAGTAGCTGAGACTACAGGCGTGCACCACCATGCCTGGCTAATTTTTGTATTTTTAGTAGAGGTGGGGGATTTCTCTATGTTGCCCAGGCTGGTCTTGAACTCCTGGGCTCAAGCGATCTGCCCACCTTGCCCTCCCAAAGTGCTGGGATTACAGGCGTGAGCCACCGCATCCTGCTAGAAGCCACTTAATCCAACTCTCCATCAAAGTCATGAATACTGTTTACAACAACCTGATGAGATGTCATCTACTTTTCACGTGAACACACCCAGGAATTAGGAGGGCATTCCTTAACCGGCAGCTCTCAGCTCTCCCAATCAGGATTTGAGCTTCACCAAATAACTCAAACCCCCCGTTTCCTCACATACTAAAGGGGAGTAAATATCTTCTTTACAGAACATCGTTGGGAGAATAAAAAGAGATAGAGGAATATAAATGGCCTAATCCACTTACAGAAGAGCGTGTGCAATGTTAGTCCCCTTTATGCGTCCTTTTATAGGACAGCACATTCCATTTTTGGATCGTCATCACCTAGAGAAAGGTCTTCCTTATACCGAATTGTCTTTGTACCCTTTTAGCACCTTTCTTAAGTTTAACCCTAAGTGGTCTCATAGAATGTCATTTTTCCGTCCACACGACGTCTTCACTGATATCTGTGACTTTAGTTGAAAGGACTGAAGATATTGGGAAGAATAATTCAATTTCTCTTTTTCTTTCTTCCTTTTTTTGTTTTTTTTTTGAGCTGGGGAGCTGGGTGAGGCTTCTGTGGATTCCCAAGAGGTGTTTGTGGCGTGAATGGAGCAAAGGTGATGTTTCATTTCATCACGTCCAGCACTGTCCCAAGGTTAAGTGGGCGCGTGAGAAGGACAGTTTTCTCCGGTTCTGGCGGGTTTGCCCTCCTGCCGGCTAGCGTTCTGCGGGAGTCAAGCCTGGAAAGCGTGTGTGCGGCGTACAGGCGTCAGACACTGGAACGCATTCGAATGGTGCTATTCTTTGTCTGCCACATAGCGAGCACTTTATAAGGTCACTTATAGTCCTGAATGAATGGTTAAATCGTGGAAGCCGCAAAGAAAGCCACACAGCTTTGACTGAAGACCTAGCCCGGTACTCAAGAATCCCTCTCAGGGGTGCGCGAGCGGGGCCGGAATCAAGAAGCCTCTTTTGGGGTGGGCGGGGACCGATCTTGAGCTCCCACTGCGGGGCACCGCCTCTTTTCCTCGCCGGCCGCCCGCTAGGCGGCGCTGGGGAGCTTGCAGCCCACGGGCGAGGCCCTCCGAGAGACTACAACTCCCGGAGTGCTCTGGGAACTGAGCCGCGGGAGCTACAGGCGGAGGGACGTGAGGGCGGGCTTTCCGGGTGTGTGTTTCCGGCGTCGGCGGCCGCGGCCGGGGACGGTGTGAGAGCGGTAAGATGGCGGCGGCGGCAGTGGTGGAGTTCCAGAGAGCCCAGTCTCTGCTCAGCACCGACCGGGAGGCTTCCATCGACATCCTCCACTCCATCGGTAAAGGTCGCCGCGCCGTCTCCCCGGCCCCGCCGGCCCAGCTCGGCTTATGTCGGTCGGCGGCAGCGGAGAGGGGCCGGGCTAGCCGGCTCTGGTGCTGCTGACTCACTGTGTGTGTGAGGGGGGCCGGGCCGGGGGCGCAGGCCCCTCGGAGCTCCCCAGAGCCCCCCGGGTCTCACTTTTGTGGGAGGGCTTGAGGCAATCCCCAGGTCCCCTCGCCGGCTGCTGACTCACGGGGGGCTCAGCGTAGGGTGGGAGAGTGGGCCGAGCCGGGCCCCCACCCCTCCCTAGCTGTGTCCCCGGCTCTGGCCCGCACGAGCTGGTCTGGGACCCGGAGTAGTGCCGGCCGGCGTGCTTGTCACGGACTGGTCCTAGAGTCTGTAGTTGAAAGGCCTTGGCGAAACCAGCTCAGGACAGGCATTTCCCGCCGTTGTAATCAGCACAGTCTGCTCCGGGTGGGAGCGCGAGTGCTTGCTCTTCTCTGGGAGTTTCCTTCCACGGGACGCTGGGAGCTGCTACTCCCCAGCCCCACGGCGGAAAGCTCCACTAGGAGGAGGGTCTCTTTCAGAATGTGGGAAATTCAGGGGTGACACACACCTCAGGTTGGCATTTGGTTTGTGGAGGTGGCCGAGACGCTCATCTGCCCTGTGTAGGGTGTAAGAGTGAGGTGTTGGAGCGGGACCGCCGGGCTAGAGGAGGTGACTAATCTTTCCAGACTCCCTGTAGGGATTGAAAGTGAGTTAAGGGAGTTAGTTGTCAGCTGCAGAGTTCAGGGAATTCTTTGGAACGGGTCGGCTGCATGTTGCCGGAAAAATTAAAATTTTCTTAGCATTGTAATATGATGGTCTTACACCTGCACGCAACAGGAAAACTGAAATGACAACCCCAGCCAGTCGCTTCCTGCAGCTTTCTGTTGGGATTCAGGTGTGAACAGAAATTTATGACAGAGGAAGACTTAAATGTTCACTCATAAAGGATTCAATTAGGGCTTGGACCAGCTCTTCACTGTACATGTAATGGGATCTTTTTAGTGTAGCTTGGGAACATTTGAATTAGCTCAACAAGTAGTATGAGAATGCACCTGTATGTGGGACTTGCAAGATGTTGGCATTTGACATAGTGTGTTGAATTTTGGTATTCCAGACCTGCACGGAGAAAGGACAATGACAAGATCTTGATACTTTATCATTGGGGATACTAGAGAAGGAGAGGAGGTGGGCGTCAAGATGTATCTTTGAACGATATTGGTAAAAGGCGTTTCTTTTGAAAAGTTCTGATCTTGACTTAGGTCAGTTGCTTCTACGGAACCAGAGTCATCTCATTCACCGTTACATGGGTATTTTTTTCTGAGTACACATTATTATTTAGAACTAATGTGAGGAGCATGAATTTTAATTGTCTGTGCCTAGTGCCTAATATTTTGTCTTTCATAAAGTAGAAATTATGTTAAACATTACAATTAGAGTATTTCCTGTTGGCCCACTATTCTATGGGAGAGTTCCCTGAAAGCTTCACTGTTAGAGCAAGCTTGAGTCATCATGGTTGACGGCCTTACTTTTTCTGGACTCCATCATGGAGTATCAAAATCTTGGTTTTTGTCAAGTCATGATGCTTTCTTTGTAAGAGTAGTGGTAACCAGTGATGATCACTACAAACTTGGAGAGGCTATTCCATGCTTGCATGTTAAAATAGTTATTAGCTGTTGAAAATAGGACAGATAGCACGAAGTTATTTTAACAGACCTCAGTGCATTAAAAAGCAGCAGTCTCTCCTAAGTGTAGCTGTGCAGGATCACACTGGGGCTTTGATAGGGTTGTTTTTCTTGAATGGCTTTATAGACCTGCTTATCCCTAACACACCCATCAGCTGAGGCTTTGCACAGACATAAAGTTTATTGAAAGGCTTTTGACTTACAGGCATCAATAACTTGGTCAATTGATTTTGGTTTGTGGCATAAATGCACAGGCATGTTTAATATCTTCACATAACATAGTGACTGGCATAGATCTTGGCACCATAAGTATGAATGATTTGTTTTGTTTTAATTTTGCTTTAACCAAGTGACCACAACGGAAACTTAGTATATATAGGTAAGCAAAAATCTGGTGGGTAGAATGAAAAGGCACATTTAAAATCAAAGAGAAGAATCCTGTTTTTTATGATTTACATGGAACATATTCTATGTATATATTATCTTTTTTTTTTCCTGACTTAGAGTTTTTTTTAACTCTAGAATTTGTCTTTTGGTAAATATGTTTGAGTTTGTAATGGATCTTATGAGGGTGAAATTTCCCTCAGTCTTCATTTTTTGGTAAGAATTTTAAGAGGGTTTGCATTTTCCTCTCCTAGTGAAGCGTGACATTCAGGAAAACGATGAGGAGGCAGTGCAAGTCAAAGAGCAGAGCATCCTGGAACTGGGATCTCTCCTGGCAAAGACTGGACAAGCTGCAGGTAAGTGCTACACATGGATTGTACCTGAAATGCTGAGTGAAATTCCCGTCTTTTGTTGGAGTGAAGAATCATGGGACTGATCCACAAACTGAATTCAACTTTATTTTCTTGGCAACTTGTTGAGTTTCAGTTTTTTACCAGGCAGTTAAGTGGCCTTTAAACTCAGTTCTTTCATGGTAGTTTAGTTTTGCAAATGAGAGACAATCTTATTTTTGTTGGGATATAGTGATTTCTGATTTGTTTCTGGTTTTTGAATTCTCACTGTATTCCCTCACACAGAGGCAGCAACAGTCTTCAATAATTTCACTGAGCAACTCTGATGTATTTAAGATAGATAACAACTTTAAGCGCCAGATTCAAAAATGACAAAGGATTTTGTATACAAGTGACTCACTGTCGTTTTTTTCTGATTGATTAAGAGTAAGAATAAGACATTAAATGGAGTCTTCCTAAGACTTCTCCATTTGTACCTAGGACTTTGTGCACATCATTGCTCAGACATTCTAGTTGTAATTAAGCCATTGACTGATTAGATTTGACATAATATTCTGATGATGGGTGTGTCCTTGGAATGAGAAGGGAGTCCTTTTGATCAGGAAGGACCTTTTACCAGTAAAGTAATAATAGTATTTAAAGAGAAGTCTGTTTAACTTCAAATGGGTGGTTTTTGTTAAGTTTAAAGTGAATTTAGAGCTCATTTGATTAAATTGGATTAAGATCTGTTAAGTGACCTCATGAGTTATTTCCCCTAAAATTATGTTGTTCAAGAGAATAATGGGGGTTAGTTGGCACAACTTCTTGAACTTGAGAGCTAAAGATGTTTTTCTTAATTCGAAACGGGGTCTCGCTGTGTCACCCAGGCTGGAGTGCAGTGGCGCGATCGGGCTCACTGCAACCTCTGCCCCTTGGGTTCAAGTGATTCTCCTGCCTCAGCCTCTGGAATAGCTGGAATTACAGGCGCGCGCTACCACGCCTGGCTAATTTTTGTATTTTTAATAGGGACGGGGTTTCACCGTGTTCATCAGGCTGGTCTCGAACTCCTGACCTCATGATCCACCCGCCTCGGCCTCCCAAAGTGCTGGGATTCCAGGTGTGAGCCACTGACAAGGAAATTCTGGTCACATAATTACAAATAATCCCAGTAAGAATAGGAGGAAGTCAGTATGATTTTATGGGACTTAAAAAAAAATTATCTCAGTATGTATGAAAATGGAAAGAAACAGGAAATACAAACAAGAATGAATATAAAACAGTAGTAGACTAAAACAGATGATGAACTAAGTCTGAAAAATGGCAGCTGGGCATAGTAGCTCACACCTGTAATCCCAGGACTTTGGGAAGCTGAGGTGGGAGGATTGCTTGAGACCAGGAGTTAGAGACCAGTTTGAACCGCATAGTGAAGATGCTATCTCTGTTAAATTTTTTTTTTAAAAATAGCAGCATGGATAACATAAGGAGACCCCATATCTACAAAAAAATTAAAAAATTGACTGGGTGTGGTGGTGCATTCCTGTGTCCCAGGTACTTGGGAAACAGAGACAGGAGGATCACTAGAGCCTGGGAAGTCAAGGCTGCAGTGAGCCACAATTGTGCCATTGTACTACAGCCTGGATGACTGAGTGAGACTCTTTCTCAAAAA